TACCACATACGTTTATCGTTTGTAAATTACTTACAGGTTCTTATTCATGCCTCAGGAGAGCCCTCGAAGGTCAGCAGGACAGGGCTTCTTCTCACTTCGGTTAAGAGATTCCCTGAGGGAACACAGGGAACAGGGCTGATACACGGCTCTTATGATGTGAGTCCAGGGCTCTTTCCTTAAACCACAGAAACTCCTGATGGAGGGAGGAGACCCATACGGCCCATGTGCTTGTAGTCCGCCAGATTTCCAGAAGGCAGATCTGTGCTGTCCTCAGAACCCTTTGGAGTGAAGAAGAGGCATAAAAGGTGGCTCACTCATGGTATATGTATTGAGCAACTATGTGTGCCAGACGTCAGGAATATCAAAGGATCCCAATTAAGGAGACTGGAAGGTACTGACCTAGCATGGTGTCATTTGCTCTATAATGTAAGACAAGAAAAAGTGCTATAGGAATGCAGAGGAAGAAGTGGTTAAGTACTTTGGGAAATGTTGGGAAGGCCTCACCAAGAAGGTAAGAGTAAAACTGGGCCTTGAAGGATGAACACTAGGGTTTCTCCAGGAGAAGAGCAAGGAGGGTTATTCTGGGGAAAGGGATCATTATGATAAAAGAATCTGGTATCTGTGGGGAGTAGTAAGTGTGTATTTGGAGAGCATGGGAGTAATGCCGGGAAATGATGCCAGTGGACTGAATCTGACTTGGGGGCAGGTGTTCTTGAGGTGCTGTATTTGACCTTACACCCCAGGTTTGTTAGCAAGGGAATGGCATAATTATATTTGCTCTGTTTAACTAATTAATTTTAAAAATCCTCACCCTAGGATATTTTTTCTATTAATTTTTAGAAAGAGTAGAAAGGAGGGAGGGAGAGGGGAGAGAGAAAGAGAAACATCGATGTGAGAGAGACACACTGATTGGTTGCCTCCCGCATGTGCCCTGACCAGGGCCAGAGATTGAACCTGCAAACCAGGTATGTGCCCTTGACCAGGAATTGAACCCATGACCCTTTGGTCTGAGGACCGGCGCTCAAACCACTGACCCACACTGGCCAGGGATGAATTTTAGAAAGCAAATGCTGTTGGGAAGGGAAGGTTAGATTGGAACAGGGCAAAGAATGGAAACCGCTGTAGTAGTTTCAGAGAGAGAACAAGCCCTGAATTGGTCATAATCCCTAATTATGTCTTTAGGAGAAATGTGGCAGTAACACTGATGAGACTGGAGGGCTAACTGGATGTAGAGCCATACCAACTGGATTTTGGATGCACACTCTAGCCATCTGCACACACACACACACACACACACACACAGGCAGGCACACACTTGTGCCCGCTCCTTACTGTGGCTTCCTGACTCAGTCCAGCTTCTCCCTTACTCTTTAAACTGGCCATTGACTGATTTTTCTCTCCTCCGAAACAGGAGACAAAGTTATAGCTCTGTGTTCTTACGAATTTTTTTCTGTATAATTTAATCTTTGATAATCCCATAGAATTGTTTGGGCTGAGAAATGCTGAGAACAAATGAATTGTTAAAGCCGTGGATGCTATGAGTATATGTGCTGCAGGTTATTTACCTTTCATGCATTTGGAACTGCTGCATATTCCAGAGCCCACCTACAAAGCAAGTTTGGGAAATTATTCTCAGCCAGGGACCACTGGTAGGGAAACAGTAACAGAGTATGGAATATTCTTTGTTTACTCTTCTAGTAATTGAGGATCACTCATCCTCACTTTAAAATGTGACATAGACCCTGGCTGGTTTGGCTTAGCAATTAGAGCGTCGGCCTGCGGACCACAGAGTCCGGGTTTGAAAAGCAGGCTAAGGGCATATACCTCAGTTGCAGTTCGTCCCCAGCCCTGGTTGGGGTCGGGTGGGTGGCAACCAGTCAATGTGTCTCGCTCACCTCGATGTTTCTCTCTCTCTCTTTCTTCCTCCCTCTCTCCCTCCTGCTCTATCGGAAGATAAATGCAAAAATGTCCTCGGGTGAGAATAAAAATAAATAAATAAAATGTGATGTAGGGTCAGAGTCGGGAAAAATTAAAACAACAAATATAAATTGCCCGCTCTTTGTAAGCATTAAGAATTCATTCCTGGCCCAGCCAGCGTGGCTCAGGGGATTGAGTGTGGTCTCATGGACTGAGAGGTCCTGGTTCGATTCCCTATCAGGGCACATGCCTGGGTTGTGGGCTCGAACCCCAGCAGGGGGCGTGCAGGAGGCAGCCAATCTATGTTTTCTCTCATCGCTGTTTCTCTCTCTTCCTCCCTCTCCCTTCCTCTCTCTCTACCATCAATTAAAAAAAATCTTAATTCCTCGATCCCTCATACCTCCATTAATAGATCCTGGTGTCAAAAAAGGGCATTCTGTGGCCATTTACCCCCTTGGTGATACAGAAGGTAGGTGTGTCTTTATGTCTCTCTTCAGCCTGTTATGGAAAGTGGAAACCAGTTTCAGCACTGAAACACTGAGCTTTGAGAATCCCGGTCTCGCAGACTTTATAAAGCTTAGTCAGCAAGCTGCTCTGAAGCACATTTCCTGAAAAAGCTATCTTTGTTTTTTTTTTTAACAAATGGCAGGTATAGTACATAATTCAGAGAACCTTGTAGTCTTAAAAGGCGTTAAATCACGCTGCCGTAGAATTTTCACAGACTCTCTTGGCCATTCAAGTGGCCACCTAACAATTAGTTATTGAGAACCCGCTGGGCGTGAGGCACCGGGTTACACCAGTGAGCAAGAGACAGTCCCTCAGGTTGTCCCAAGTTTAATTGGCTTGGATACATATTTTGTACTTGACAAAGATGAATTGGTGTTTGTTGCGATCTGAAAAGGGAGGTGTTTCTATCATCTTGTGAGGATGGAGGAGTGGAGGAGCCACCAAACCTGAAACATTAATTACATTTGAGTAAGTGACCGGGATGCCTGTTTTCATTGACCAATTGTTATATAATTTAATTATTTAATCTGCTAAGTAATTTGTAATTCTGCCGCTTATCACTTTCATGCTTCATTTTCACCCAATATATTTCAAGGTATTGAATCTGTTCCATAAACAGTATTAATCTCAATCACTTTGGGAGCTTTAAGTTGCATCCCCTTATTAAATAGAGTCCTTGTTATGCTGACCATGTGTTTGCAGTGTCAGAAACTGATGATGCTGATAAAAGCAAACACTGAGTTAAAAACCCTTTTCATGTTTTAATTAGATTTTTTAAAAAGTATAATTTGTGCATTTGTATTTCCCAAATGGTTTTTGGTCATGGAAAACACCTTATTAGGTTAAACTGGAAATTTGAGTTCAAAGTCCAACCTCCTGGTTTTGGTTTTATCTGACAGACATTAAAATAGTAGAGCATTTTCTGTTTTGGCAAGAATCACAGGGTTGAAATAATTGGGGGAAAGAGAAGATTTAAATTTGTCCTCGAGACTACAAACTTCTTGAAGGAAGGGTCTGCTGCTTTCAAGTCTACCCCCGGCACACGGTGCGCTCTCCATGTTCGCGGACTGGACTGGAACCCAGCAGGTGATGAACAGAATCTGAGACCCAGGCTCCCAGCGTTTCCTACTTAATGTCCACAGCACTACTCTAACACAACATCCCTTCTTCCTTTCAAAAATTAAACTTCATCACGTTCCTCTTTGACGCGGGACGTTTTTACAGCCTCGTGCTGTGACTCACTTGGGTGCTGAGTTAAAGGCTCCCCGGGAGCACAGCCTGTTTCTGAAGCCGCGGTGTTCGGTCTCCCCAAAGTTAGCGTGCCCCTGGGGAGACGTCACGACACAGCGTCCGAGCCACGTCACAGCGTGGAGGTAGAAACGGAGCACTGAACTGGAAAACGCTCTATCGTGGAAGTCACCTGGAAAACAGACTCAGGGACATTTGTGTTTTCCTAAGAGCACAAGGGAATTCATCTTTTCTGCAGAGCTAAAAAGGTGACCCAGGACAGTCTCACCAAGATAAAAAAAAAAAAAATAGTTCTGACGTTTTACTGTGGAGTCCAGTTACCTTAGAATCTACTTCCCCATCCAACTTGATCATCACCCAACTCTAAAGAATTAATGTAGGGACTAAGTGTATAGGTTGAGTATTAAAATAGAATGGGGGGCCAGGCAAGCAGGAGGAATGTAAAACTCCTGGCTCGCCCCTTGGTCACCAGTAAGGGGTTTCTCCTTTGTCTTCCTTTAGTCTGGCTCAGGGTTTCTCAAACTCCAGTGTGATTAGGAGTTTGCTGCAGGGCTGTTTATCCAAGACGACGTATTCTGTGTCTGATGGATGATTTAAGAGACCTCAGAGGCGAATGTGAAGTATCTTTATAAACTCGTCCTGAACAAGTACTTCTAGACACGTATTGCACAAGCAAATGAATGAAACGGAGAGGCACATTTCTGGAGAAACCTCGAACCCTTTTCTGTCTAAAATTCTCACTTGTGAGACAGGGAGATGGGTCCCTGGTCGGCTCATCCTGCGCCTTGGCATAAAGAAGCTTCTGTCCCAAGTGCCATTGCTGTCCTCATGGTGACCTCTCTGGGCAGAAGCAGGGCTGCCTGGTCTGTGAGATGCCATCAGATATCATGTGAGGGGTTTCAAGTCAGTTTCTCACAGGGAGGTGTGGATGTGTAGGAAACTTCCTGAGTGGCTGGTGTAACTGTGGGGCTTTGGCTCTGGTTTTTCGTAGCAAGTAGATGCTATCAGCAATGGAGGGGAAGGTAAAATGCCGGTCTTCCCAAACTTCTGCGGAGGCAGGGGGCTGTTCTGCCTCCCTCAGAACCGGCTGTCATCAGCTGCTCTCCTGGGCACTGACACGGCCCCCTGGCTGGGCTGATTGGTTGCTGGCAATAACTGATGTGGAATACTGATATTCTCGCTGGCAGTTCCTTCCACTCCAAAGAGGCTCTGCTTCTGCCGTCCTGACCCCAGCCTGGTGCTCAGCCTCCCCAGACCTTGCCGCCCCTGCACCCGGGGGAGGACGAGTCCTGGGCGTGATGCTCTGAGGCTGGTGAAATGCACCGGCTGCCTTCGCTCCAGCGCGCTCTGGGAGAGTCCTGTTCCTGACTTCTCGGGGGTTTCACAGCACAGACAACTGTATGCGGGCCCAAGGGAGGCTGAAAGGACTTGTGTGTGGTGGTTTAATCGCCTTTCATCACTTCGCGGGCGGCCTCCCCAGCCCTGCCTGGAGCTTCACAGCGGATTTCTTCCTGCCTGAGCCGCCCAGGAGGGATCCCTTCTCCTTCTGCTGACTCTTTCTATTTTTATGGTAAGTACTTGCCTTGTCTGAGCTGGTCTGCTGCAGTGAACCGAAGGCTCTCTCCTTGCTCTTCCCAGCTCAGCTCAGTGACCTTCTCTCTGCGTTGCTTCTGTTTACATGCATCCATGTCCGGGGAGCTCACTAAAACACCAGGAGGCATTTGTCCGGGCTGCCTGTCTCTTTATTTTAATTTGTTTTTTTTTTTTTGCCATAAACCCGAGCTCCTCGGCTGTGATGGAAACATAAGCACTCTCTCTTTGTCCTTGAAGCGGCAGCCAGGGAAATGTGTTCAGGATGGTGAACTGCAGCAGTGTGCAAGGGATCTGTGGAGGGTGACTGACAAATCTGGGCAGGATGAATTCTTGGCATGCTGAGGGGCACTCTCTTGGCTGATCCGCCCGAGGAGCAAACTGTTCCACCTTTCGGGGTGAAGACGAGCGCATGCATGAGTTATGTCAGAGTCTGCTGTGAGTAGGGGTGCTTTATGCACCTGCTGGTGGGTCCAGGATGGCCCCGGATCTTGTGGGTTTAGCAACTTGGGCAGTAACATTGGCGGCAGGAGGAATCCTGCCCTGGCCCGCGGGGTAAACTGCATGACCTCATTGCTGCTTTCCCTTTGAGTCTCCGGGTGCCTGTTCTGCAAACCATATTTTTACATCCTCTACAGAGGGCGACGTGTCAGTGACAATAGGAACCTTTTTGAGTTGACAAAACATTTTTGAGTTTCACCCTCCCGCTGGGAGATAAAATGCTTTGAGGCTATTAGAATGGTGAGACTTTTCTGAGAGAACATAAGCAGGTTTCCAAGGAGGAACACGCATGTTGCAGCATTGACAGGCTGCTTGTTTATTCCAGGGCATCACTCTTCGAATAGTGTTCTGATGTCTCCCTGGGCTCCCAGGCTTGCTGCAGAGGTAGCACAACTTCAGGTCCAAGAACGTTTTGGTATAGTTCTCACCTTGTGGCACCTGTGAGCCAAGGAGTCTTTCTCCACAGGAAAATTTTCTTCTTCCTCTTTTTATTTTTTTTTAGTTTTGGGGTAGCAGGTGTGTTGAATTATTTTGGTCAATGCAGTATCCCAAAGAATAAACATCACATTTGCAATTCTGCTTAGTTTTATTTCTAGTCTGGGGCTGGAGGTGGGTTGTCTTACTTGATTTTGTGGGGTATAATTCTGGTCCATTTTAGTCTAAGGAATCTTCCCAGCATGGAATTCAGACTCTGGTTTGTAAGACAGTGTACTAATGCATGTGTTTTTTGGGGGGGTAATAAAGACACCATGGAGTGGGATTTCTGGGCTCTCCCCCTGTGGACAAGGAGTTTGGAATGCGAAGTTCCTTACTGCTCTGCCCACTCTCCCCACTTTGCTTTCCACTGTCTGTGTGGATTTTTCCTAAAATAGTTGGTGGTAACATCAGGCATATGCTTTTATTGTGTTCCCTGGTCCGAATTGGTGTTTTATGTTTGGTGGAGGGTTTTTTTGCATGTATGAAAGCATACCTATCTAGAAATTCCTGCTCTTCTTAATTTAAGTGATAGTCCGGTTGCGGAGTAAAACCGCGATGGGTTGACAGCAACAGGAACACATTAAGATCCTTGCAGATTGTAGCCTCTGAATTCTTAAGTAATGTTTCAATTACTTTCAGCATTGTTTAGATGAGCTCTTCTAATATCCACTGTTTCCTACCTCAATTAGGATCCGCAGCAAGACAGTGCTTTCCCTGGCTGACTTCTCTGCTCTTCCGATGATTCTTTAATGTTCAGTTGTTTTCTTTCATCCGTAACGGTGTTTTCTTGCTTTGCTTATTATCACTATTATTATTTTTGTCCAATTGCAAGAATTTTTGATAAGGTGCCTGGCAACTCAACTTGAAGTATTCATCAACTTGGGTGTCATGGAAATAGACGCTGTATTTCATACTGCGGGCGGTTTAGGATGCGTCTAGAAATGACTTTATTTCAATTAGTAGCAATTTAAGCTATGAGATTAGTTCCCTAGGCTTTCTTTATTTTGCTGAACAATGTTTATCTATGCAATCAGAATTGCACATTTATATATATATATATATATACACACACACATATATATGTATATATATGTAATTTGTATACACTCACACACACACACGCAGAAGCATATACATAAATGTTCTGTTTATTTGTGACTATTATATGTTCATATTTTTAATAATTGCAGCATGCCCACTTAGAGAATAGAAGAAAAATTCCTGAGATACTGTTTAGCATTTTCTATCCTCTAGCTAAAGAGGGTGTTTGTTTTTTGTTTTTGTTTTTTTTGGTAGGGGTTTTCCCACTTCCCTCACCCCTCCTGCAGATAACACCTTTGGGAATTTCTTTGAATTGGGAGAGTGCATCCTTCAACCTTTGCTTGTTTCAGGACATGGTCTCATGTTAATTTCTTTGCAGGGTCTCCAAAGGCAGCAAAGAAGACTACTGCAGGAAAAATTGATAAAAGCAGTGCTGAATAGAACCATTAGCTTCTTGGTGTGATGAAGTCACTGCAACATTTTATTTGTGTTGCTAATTTAGCTGCTGTGCCTTGCAGCTGAGTTTGCTTGCAACCCTAGCCGGTTGAACTTATTTGAAATGGGTCTAGAATCACTGCGATTGGTGTCGATGCAATTATTCACTTTGCACATTTCTTAATTACAGCTATCATTGAAACAGTTCTCTTATTACTCTGTTTCTTTTTGGTGGTGTTTTCATTTGAAACCTGCAGCTTATATTGTGAGTCAGTGCTTTCCATTGTTATCCTCTCTCGTTCTGCTTCCTCTCTTTCCCTCTTTTGCTTTACATCTGTTTCTGTACGTGAACACACATGTGGGTACACATATAAACTCAGACAGTGAAAGTTGTGTGACGATTAATGAAGCGTTGGTTATGGCTTCTCTTTTAGTAACCAATCTCCAGTGTTCAACCTGCAATCATTTAACTGAACGAAGAGATCGCTCCCATTAATATAACTATCACCTCATGCTTCTGCAGACATTCTTGCTATTGAAACTGTTTTCCATAGTTGATTACCAGGACCAGAAATAGAATCAATTTTGCATTTTAATTAATGATATTCTGGGACTGTTTAGGTTGGACTGCCTTTAAATCCTGACATGTTTACCATTTAAAAGGTCTTTGTGTTAAGAGGGGGCGTTTATGGGTGATACCAAGTAAAATTGTTTGATTATGTGATACAACCTTTCTCTGGGAATTGAATGCATGGTATCAATAAGGATGTTGGCTGAATTTTTCTGTTGCTTTCCCAATGCAATTAAGCCAATATATTCCCTTTACCATTTCTCCATGAGCCTTTTTTTTTTATAGAGTAAAATGAGTAATGTACATCTCCCACATAAAGCTGCTTAGAGGGAGGACCATTCTTTAACAGAGATTCGAAACCACTTCTAACACCAGCTATGGTGATCTCCCTTGAAAGGAACTTGCTATTCAGTTGGCAACTTAGACAGATTGTATAACATAGGAGAAATGCTTCGTGAGCTGTGTTGAATACTGAATTTTGATCTGTGCTTCCTTACTGAATTAGTTTAGGACTATAGTCATTAGATCAGCTTTGCAGAAAAAAAAAATCATGTCCTCAGTAGTATAATAACCTAGCCAGACTGTCATAAATGTTTATGTTGCAAGTTCTATCTCTTGGGTGGTACAGGGAGGTGGCAGAATGTTGGAGGAGAACCAAATCACAGCCCCAAAATAATGCAAGATGAAAGGGGAAAATTTTTCTGTATATTTAGCATTTAATTCTCTAGAAATACCATTGGTTCTTAGGTCTGAAGAGCTGAGAGATTGTTAAAAACACGTAGTGACAGGTTTTGAGGGCTTTTCCTCGAATGGAAATCTTGACCCTTCATTAGGCATCTGCTTAGTGACCCTTTGGCTTGTGTGAGCCAACAGCCGTTCTTATAGAAAGCAGACATATTGTCATACAGCGGGAATTCACTTACTTACATGTTCCCAGCTGGTTTCCCACTGGGGACCCCCTGGGAGTGGCCGGGAGGGAACGAGTGGAGGTTACTGGAGACCACAGCCAGTCCCAGCAGCATGGCTTCAGGACCCGGGTTCCAGTCCAGCTCTAGCCACTAACAGGCTGTAAGACTCAAACTCGTCTTCTACACTGGGCTTGGGACAGATGATCTCAGCGGGCTTTCCCAACCATTAAAAATTATGAATTATTATTTTACCTCTAATTTTTACCAGTGGGTGGTAGTTTCTAAGGCAGTTGACTCATCCTGGAGGGGATGGGCTATACCTTCCTTTGACCCTACAAAACCCACAGAACTGTGACAGAGACATGAGTATCAGGGTTACTCAGAAAAGTGTGATAATGGTGAACTTTTGTGGACAGGGCTCTTATGTATATGACAATTACCTGCTGTCCCTGGGACGTCTCGAAACGTCTCTCCTTACCATCGAAAGGGACCGTGTGGAACATCTTACCTATTCTCTTATGTCCTCGATAAGGAAGCTGAGGCCAATGGACATTAATTGCCCTCCTCAGGGTTGGAGACCTGGTTAGCACCTGGGCAGGACAGTTTAGTACAATGTTCATGGATTGATTCAGACCCCGGTTTCATTCCTGGTGTGGGACCCTTCCACGAAACACAGCTGACACTATGTCGTTATTCATCGCTCACAGAACTGCTTTGTGGCATCTAACTCACTAGGGTCCATTATTTCTGGGTTCATTTCATGCAGATTACGTGGCTGTACCAGTCAGAGTGAATCACGTCAAGCAAATGTTTATGGTAATTTGTTCATGCTTGTGTGGAAATGCATTTTTTATATTGAAATTCTGCTTTTCTTATGAACATCTTAAGAATTTTACAACCACTATGCTTAATTCCCCCCTGTGCTTCAACTATTTAGTTTAGTACTTATTTCTGTTTTGCAGGGGTGGGGGGGGGTGATGCTTATGGATTCATTCCTGCATCCATTCATTCATGTAATACTTATCGAGCACCTGTTGTGTCCCCCCT